AAATGTAATATCGAATAGGCTTACGATGTCATCAATTTGTTTGGAGACAACCACTATGGCAACATCGTCTGCATATGCTACTAGTTTTACACATTCTGGAATCTCTAGTCTCAAAAGGCCATCATACATAATATTCCACAGCAAAAGGCCTTGAACAGAGCCCTGCGGCACACCTCCTATTATATTATATTCTTCTGTACCATCGCGTGAATGGTACATTAGAATTCTGTCTGTAAAGTAGCTTGCGACTATATTGCATAGGTATGCTGGCACGTTCTTGTCACGGAGTGCATTCATAATGCAATCCCAGTTTGCAGAATTGAAAGAATTTTTTATATCCAATGTAGCTACAAGGCAGTACTTTTTTGAACCCCCCCTTCCATCTGGTTCCAGCGATTGCCTCCTTGGCGGTATTAACTACCAAGTTTATAGCATCGATAGTTGATCGCCCTTTGCGAAAACCATACTGATTGTCTGCTAGGATTGGATCAACTACTGCATCTATTCTTTGGTGAATTATTCTTTCAAAAATTTTACCCGCTGTATCCAGCATGCATATTGGACGGTAGGATGATGGTTCATCTGGTGGTTTTTTTCCTTTGGGAATAAGCACTAATCTTTGCTGTTTCCATTTTCGTGGAAAACCCCCTTCTTTCAGGCATGTATTATATGCATTAAGAAACATTGTCGGAGATGTCATAATTGATGTTTTTAAGGCAATATTAGGAATTCCATCTAATCCCGGTGCCTTGCTATTACCAACGCGATGACAAACTTCCATCAGTTCTTGCAGTGTTATAAGTGGAATATTATTCTGTTCTACATGTGTTACCTGGTAGTTCAAATTAGGTTGTCGTGGAAACAAAGTAGTTACTATTTTATTCAATGGTCGTGGGCAAGTTGGTGAAGGTATTGGGTGGCTTTTGAGGCGAGACATTACAGTCTTATAAGGTCTTCCGCATGGATTTTCTTCGCCTTCATCCAAAAGTTCTTTCCAGCACCTAACTTTACTATCTTTGATAGCTTTATTTAGTTGCCTACGTGCTTGTTTATATTCCACTACCAGTTGTGCAGAATTACTGAGACTATATCCACGCTGAGAGATCCTTCTTTTCTTTAGGCACTCTTTACGAAGAGAGCTGATTTCTTCATTCTACCAGTGCACAGATTGTCTTTGATTTATGCCATGTTTAAGAGTCATACTGATATCACAGGCTTCGGTTATTCTCTCCATCAGCTCTCTAGTATGCTTATCTGCGTGTTCTGAAATTATAGGTTTGCAATTTAAGGCAACTCTCATGGCGCTTTCATTAAAAGATTTTATTTTCCACCCAATGGCTTTAGATATTTTCGCATGTCTTCTAATGTTTCTATTTGTTGATATTTCCCAGATGATTGCATTGTGGTCACTAGCAGTGTAGATACCTAATACCTCCCAATTGCAAATTTCTCTGACGAGGCTATTGCTAACAAAAGTAAGGTCTATTATTGAGCTTGCACTGCCCTTTTCAAAGGTTGGTTTATCACCACTATTAAGTAAAACAACGTCAAGTGCATTGAATGCCTCTAAAAGTGCTTTACCTCTTGCATTAGTCTTCCTACTTCCCCAGTCTACCGCCCAGTGTATGAGTGTGTGTGTGTGTATGCATGGATGGATGCAATTTTTCATTCACGTTTTCGGATTCAAAAAACATCCGATTCCTATTGATAGGGAGATGTGCTGATTAATTTTTGGTAAAGGCAGGTTCAGCCGTATCGGAAATACGGAGCAAATTGTAATCGAGCTTTTGAGAGATCGGAGCATCGGATTTGAATAATTCAAGAAACATTCAATTTGTAATGACGGGGGGAAGTGGTGATTAGTTTTTGGCAAAGGCAGGTCTAGCGGTTTCAGAGATACAGAGCTAAATGTGCAAAAATGGCAATTTTTGAGAGAACTGAGCTTCCGATTTGAATAATTCAAACAACTTTCTGCTTGTTTTAACAAAATAATTGTTTTTGTTTCAATTTTTTTTCAATTTTTTTTGTATAATCGAAAATAATTCAGATTTTAATTGTAATTCTGACTTATGTTCTAATATACTTTAAACAAATATTTTCAACTTTGCAATTCAGTTTATATAATTCTTATAAATATTAGACAATGTTACAGTATTATATATATAAAAATGGAGCTCTCGATCAAATGATTCGGTAAAACTCGAAAACGGCTGAACCGATTTGGCCAGTCTTAGTCTTGAAAAATTTGTGCCAATCCAGAGATGGTCGGAAAGGTGAGATAATAATTCAAAATCGCGTAGAAACTTTACATTTTTAATTTGAAAATTTTTGGTAAACAGCACTTGATTTAAAATGGCTTCACACACAATATTATTCATGATGACAGATGAATCGCCTACTCATATGTCAAATGGTTTTGATAAGTTAAAACAGATTATGTTCAGTGTTAGATAGTGTTGTTATTCTTTTAATTTTAAAATTTAATTAATAATGAAAAAATATATATTTTTAAATGTTAATAAAAATGCTTATTTTGATTTTATATAAAGTTTTTGGTTAATTCTCAAGTTACCATTCGTTTGCTCACTGCGTTTTGTATTAATTTTTGACACATTCTATTTATTTCAAAAGCTGTGCTGCAAAGTACTTATTGGTTTATTGTGAATAATGTGTTACTAAAACATTTTAGGATTTACATTATTATTGCATTTAGGTTATTCAAATTAAGATCCTAAATTTGGAATTCATCGAAGGGGACACCCTAGACATTTTTCTCTAATCACTTCTAATGCATAGCAAGAAATTTTTCCAGCATTCAAATTTGCAAATAATAAATTAAAATAGTTAAACATATCCCACATAATAATAATAAAAATTTTACAGATTTTTTCTTATCTTGTTTAGATACTAATGCTGTTGTTGATCGGGTCTTTTTCCAATTACTTTCCGAGCATACTATATAGAAGTTATGGTGATAACAAAGATGCCACTAATTTGGATACACGGTTTCAAAAAAGGAATATCAAAATAAACACATTGAAATTTATCACAACATGTTGAAAATGTATATATGTTCAAGCAAATTTAAAAGAAGAAATGTACATATTATATAGCTATATAACAATCCGCGGTAAAACGTTAAAATGGCTGTATGGATTGGGCCTAGTCTTTGTTGCATAATTTTATATTCATTAGTATTTATAAAACATTTTCTAGATTATATCATTATTTTATTTAGATTATTTAAACTAAAAACCTAAATTTGGAATTGATCAAAGGGTACATTTTGTCGAATAACTTATTCCCAGATATAACAGACCAATACTTAAATAAGAAGATTTGGTTGTTAATATAACTTTGGAACACACACCTGTAAAAATGTCAATGCACAAAATTACAAGTTCTCTGGAATAAAATATTTTGAAAATTTATTATAATGCTTGCATTCAAAGGTACTAGAACAAGTATAGCAGAAAAAAGATTCACTACAATTTTGAAGACCTACAATTTTGAAGGAATTCCTACCAAACGATATGCCAAAATCCATGCATTTTAGACACAGTCAGGTATCGTTTATGCTTGATTAAATCACAAATTGAAAAAGATGAAAAACTTCAACAATCATTGGATAATGCAGTGTAAAATATAGTTCACTATTGGTTATTTTCCACTAATATTGAAGAATAAACTGGAAAAATTTTCTATGATATTATTGAAGAATGGATAGTAATATATGGAGTTCCGGGGTTAATAAAGTCCTCCACCAATATCTCAAAAACCAGTAAAGTTTAGCATCGTTCAACAACAATATTTGAAAGTAGAGGGAAAAAGATGTATAACCAGCTATAACCTTGATTCTTATGACTTTGCTATCGGGAGATAAACGGTAATCTTTGAAAATCCATAACGAAAGTATTTCCTTATATTGTTAGTTTTTTGGGTTGTGAGCACTGTGGTTTAGTTCACGAGACCTTAATATAAATTTTAACTATACGCTATTTAATTGTTTTATAAAATGTAATGTTAATTTTGAGTGCGATTCAACAGTTTTCTTTATATAACCACTTTAAAAACTTACATCTGTGTGGGGCAAAAATAACCAACTGAACATTGACCATGGCTAAAGACTAAAAAAGACTTGAATTGAATTATACCATCTTTTTATAGAAAGTGTATAAAACTTCCAATTTGATTGTATTACCAAAATATGGACAAATGAATATTGTTATTATGAATTATATAAATCATTATTATACAAGTAGACTTTAGGGTTTATTGTGTTTATAATACCTCATTGTATGTACTATTCAAACAACACATCCTTACACTCCTAAAATAAAGCATTCTTTTTTTTATTCTCTAGAAATTGTTTAGAAATACCTTACTTAGCAAAACAACTTTTGCCGGATCAGCTAGTTTATTTATAATAATATATTTGAAAGCATTTATTTTCCTCGAACATTTCGTTACGGTACGGGAAGTTCCAGCAATTTATATATAGCATATATGGGGTATATATGTATTTATCAGGCTGGACTGTCAAAAAATGCCGAGGTCAAAACCTTGTACTATGGGTTTGAACCAACATTTCATATATTGTGTTTACATATATAATAAGGCCATGCGAGATTTGTTTTATTTCGGATATGTCTGCGGAAGCTATTACTAATTTATTGACTTAATTTATATTTTTGTTTTTCTAAATATTTTTTTGTTATCTGATTTACAGTTGTTTACGAATTATATGATTCATATTATGTATTTAATACAAGCATAAAAGGCAATTGTTAAAACTATATGAATATCCGATATTTCACAACGTAATGAATGAGGGAAAGATTATGCAACATGCTAAAAAAAGCTAGTAAATTTGAAGTATATTAATAATAGCTGTTTTAGACAAAATTTTCAGAATTTTATTTTGTTTTTTAATTAAATATGATTCAGATTTTTTTAAAATGTGATTTAATATAAATTAATAAGAATTTATTATAATATAGGCCGAGGACGGTATACGAACGAAGCAATGGTATACTCAACTTCAATACCATGCGCAAGGTATGGGTCCATGGAGAAAAAGGAGAAACGCCCTTGCGAATATAATGATCAATGGAATGATGACCAGGACATAATAACCATTGCCGTTAAATGAATTTTAATTATAGTTAATATAATATCAATAAATTTAATACGAAATATAATTTCGCGTACTATAGTTATACAATAAATTTAGACTAATTAACCCACAACTATGTTTTGTACTTGTACATTTATTTAGGTTTTGATTGGTAGTTATTATAAAGAAAGTACTAAACAAATAATAATGTTCCTATATATGAACTTATTAGGTTTCCAAAAATATGTACTAATACTTTGAACTTTTAATATACTATCTGAATGTTTGTAAAATTATCATATTATATTATATTAATATTATTATTATAGCACACTTTTAGTTAGCATATGTAAATTTATATAGATTGTAATTACAGGATTTTTGGCATAGAATTGTGATCTTTTTAACATCTTGTTAGAAATAAATATACAACAAAATATATAAGATTATATTATTTTTGTGGATATATTATTGTAAACAAGTTTGAATTTAAGAATTTCCGGATGTTTTACGTTTGCATATTTTTTTTCTACCTGCTGCCTTCTTGGGTGTTTTTTTATGTTTTATTGTTAATTAAAAAGTGAAAACAATATATGAAGCGGATAGCATGCCCGCTTTTCTTTGCGGATTGTGGCGCTGGATATAGTAATAGTTTTTCACGCTCTATATATAACTGGTCAGATGACCGACATATTGCAAAAAGCTTCCAATGTATTAGTAAAAGAATAAATCAACATCTTTATATATCAAGAAATCCGAAACGATATAAAACGATATTATATATTGTGTACAAATATGAGTAAGATATTACTTGAATTTTTGAAATTTCTTTCTGCTTTTATAAATATGATTTATACACCTCAAATTAATTCCTTTCGGGTGCAATGTAAATATGACAATGCATTTTCCAATTTTTGGAACAATTTTATACCCATCTTCCGGAATAGCCATCAGTTCCTTCTTCGATTCGGCTTTCAAGTCTTTAATCAAAAATGTTCACTGAAAGTCAATCGATGCTAAATCAGGCGAATACGGTGGTTGTTGAACGATATTGACGATTTGACGAATTTTGACGTTTCACAATAATTTTGACCGTCATCAAGACATAAAAAAGTACGTTGGAAGCGCCGGGTGTCGATCCCCAGCAAGTGAAGCCATTTCATTCAAAGATTTCACGGGTTTTATACTCAACAATCACTCACAACAATTTTTATTATCATCAAGACATAAAAAGTATGTTGGAAGCGCCGGGTATCGATCCTGGTACCTCTCACACGCTAAGCGAGCGTTTTACGACTTGATCTGCCCCCGGCAAGTGACCCCATATTATTCAAAGATTTCACGTGTTTTATACTCACATGCAGCGCTCTACCACTTGAGCTAAGCCCCCTGCAAGTACCCCCTTTTTATTTATAGATTCCCCGGTTTTCATACTCAACATTGTTTTAGAATAGTTTTTACCATCACAATACATAAAGAGTAATGTGCGAAAGCAACGGGTGACGATCCCGGTACATCTCGCATGCAAAGCGAGCGCTCTACCGCTTAAGCCCTCTGCAATTACACCTATTTTATTTATAGATTCCACGGGCTTCATACTCAACGTTATTTCAAAATAATTTTTACCATCGTCAAGACATAAAGAATTACGTTGGAAACGCCGGGTATCGATCCCCAGCAAATAACATCATTTCATTCAAAGATTTCACGGGTTTTATACTCAACAATCACTCACAAAATTTTCATCGTCAACAAGACATAAAAAAAGTTACGGCTGAAAATGCCGGGTATCGATCCCGATACCTCTCACATGCGAAGTGAGCGCTCTACCAACTGAGCTACTCCCCCGGCTACTGCGACCACATCATTCAAAGATTTCATATGTGGAAGTAGTTATGAATATAAAAATATAAAATCCATTGGATGAAAATATAAATAATTTATTGATTAAGCAAATTTTATGAAATATTCGCCAAATTTCCGATGTCTAGCCTGCTTGATTCCCCACACACTCCCTGCCCAGCGTTGACCTCACAGTTTAAAAAAATACAGGGAAACACGTTATAAATATATGGCGGGAAAGCAGACTATAGCAGTGTTGTGGTACTAGTCAATTAGTAATTCATCCAATAGAATAAATGACAGTTTCAACGGCAGATCCACCGGATGGTAGGTAATTCGACCTTCCATCATCTTCATACTTTGCATATGGTTCTTAATATAAATCACGTGGTAAATTGCCCGAATCTCGATGTCTTAGTAAACTTCGAAGATTCCGCCACGATCTATTGTATATATTTTAATTTCTATAATATTTTGGGTAAATAGATTGCGCTCTGTAAGAATATGGATTTTCGCAATTATTATAATAACCTTTTCGACTTCTGTAGCGCTTTGCATCATACGGATGCAAGATGAAAATATAAACAATTTATTGATTTGGAAAATTTTATGAAATGAAAATGACAAGTTATATTGTTTTTTTCATGATGTCTAGCATGCTTGATTCCCCACACATGTATTGTATACTCGACAATCACTCAATAATTGTTATCGTCAACAAGATGTAAAAAAGTAAGATTTGGAAGCGCCGGGTATCGATCCCGGTACCTCACGCATGCAAAGCGAGAGCTCTACCAGTTGAGCCATGCCCTTTGTAATTGACGCCATTTCATTCAAAGGTTTCACGTATTTTGTTTCAACAATCCCAAGAATTTTTATTATCATCAAGACATAAAAAAGCAAAATTTGGAAGCGCCATCTACCACTAAAGCTACGCCCCCTGCAGTTACACCTAATCTATTATATAAAAATAAGTCGGGTTTTTCTTCCTGACGATATAACTCCAGAACGCAAAAACCGATTTCGATCTTTTTCATTCGTTGGAAAGGTCTCGGGCTCCGTAAAGTTTATAGCAAAGAAAATTGAAGAAAAAAAATAAGGATAGCGAAAAAATCGTTTTTCACATGCAACGTCATCTCTAATACTTAGCATGTACAAACCAATATTTTAAGTAGATGATGCCGGTAGATACATTGTTTGACAGCTACTTTGATTAATTACTCTTACCAACGACGTTTGCCGATTGGTATACTCTCAATTAGCTCTTCTTAAAAATATTTTCCCAAACATTAGTGAGAATTGTCAGAATTATGCTTGGTTAAATCAACGAGCAATTCTTGCCGCAAAGAATAATGATGTACACGCACTGAATTTCACCAATCAATCAAAAATTGCTGGCGAATTGTTGACATACAAATCCATTGATTCCATAATAAATTCCGATGATGTAGTGAATTATCCAACGGAGTTTTTGAACTCTCTGGAGTTACCAGGATTTCCACCACATAACTTGCAACTCAGAGTAGGTACAGTTGTTATGATATTGCGTAATTTGACTTCACCGCAACTTTGCAACGGCACTCGACTTTCGGTAAAAAGACTTATGCCGAATATGATTGAGGCAACCATTATTAACCAAAAGTACGAAGATGAAAATGTATGTGTTTTTTGAATTTCAATGATTGCGATTGGTCTTCCGTTTGACGTCAAACGATTGTAATTTCCAGTTCGCAATGACCATTAACAGAAAATCATTGTTTTTCACATGGGCAGTTATACGTTTCGGGTTCACAAGTTGGGAAACCATCCGCTTTGTTTGTGTTAACGTCTGACCAAAAAACAAAAAATGTGGTTTACCAAAGAGCACTCCAATGAAATGGATAATTTGCGGAAACGTATAACTCTTTGATTCAGCATTTACTATGGATTCACTTTCATTTACTTAGAGAAGTTTAACTAAAAAAACACTTCATTTTTGTAATCGAAATAAATTTATTACTGTTGTGTGATGAAATAAAATTTTTCCTTTTCAAACATAAAACAAAAAAATTTTCTTCACCTTTCTCACGAAACGATCTGGTGATGAAACGGAGTTCGCCGGGTTTGCTAGTTTATTTATAAATTCCACTGGCTTTATACTCAACATTATTTCATAATAATTTGTACCATCACCAAGACATAAAGTGACGCCATTCGATTCAAAGATTTTACAGGTTTTACACTTGTGGGGTGGTTCCACATATACAATTTATGATACTACAATTATATGTGAAAATAATGCTTATTAATAAATAATATGTATAAAGTCTTCTTCGGTATTCTTTGATTGGATTCACTAGTTTCCCCAGGTGTTGACTGCTCGACCAGTAGAAAAGAAAAGAGATCGAGAAAGGTAGCTGTTTTCTTTATATACCTGTTAGCCTTACCCCCTACACACATTAGTGTCGCTGCAATATGCTTGTTAATTTTATTGAATGCGAGGACGAATTACTCGCCCAAATCGTATTTTGTATTGGTCGGAGGTATGTTCTGCAACGCTGGATGGAGTTGAACTCATACTTTGATTGTCTTTTGCGGTGAATAGGTGTTTGAAGCCTTTTGACTGAATTTTGGAGATTTGACGGGAGATGCAGCTACGATCCCAGGTTCTACAATCCTTGCGAATGCCAGGGCAAACAAATCTATCCGTGAGAGTTTAGTTGTAGCTTTTATACCAGGATGAGATTGATTGTGCAGAGTATCAAAAATGTATCGTCTATGTTCAGCAGAAACATAAGAACGTAACCGATTTTGAGAAATATCACAATATAATGTTTTTTCCTGGAATAGCGATGCGTTTCAGGTTGAGAGCAGTATCCGATTTTAGGAACGTAGCAAGTTCTACATCATTGCCTTGCGATTTAGCAATAACGGAGTGATCCAAAGGCAATGTTATGGATTCTGCTCTTAAGAAAGCGTCGGCTACTATGTTTTGTTGTTCACTAACATAGCGAACACATGTTGAAAACTACGACAAGAAACTTAAATGGTTTAATTGTATTGGCGGCAGCTTGTCTTTTAGTTGGGAAAAGGCGTGAATTAAAGGTTTTTGGTCAGTAAACCAAATGAAATGTCTGCTTTGCAGTAAGCTTCGAAAATGTTGCACTGCTTCGTAACCAGCCAAAAGTTATCGATAATATGCTGGCCACTAGTGCCATTGATGTACTGCTGTGATACCGCACCGATAGAATGGTTAGATACATCGCTAAGTAATGCTGTTTGAGCATTTCGAACAGGGTGTGCTAGTAATGTTGCTTTCACTAGATCTTTCTTACAAGTTTCGAAGTTATGTTGATGATGTGGGGTCCAAGAAATTAGATGTGATCCAGATTTGGTAGATCCTGAGAGCAGCTTGTGTAGCGGAGCAGGAAATTCAGCTATGTGAGGGATAAACTTTCGATAATAATTAATTATCTCTATGAAGCGTCGCAGCTTTGAATAGGTTGCCAGAAGCGGATATGCTTGAAGATAGTTGATACGGTCTTGTGGTGGCAAAGTTCCATCTTAAGATATTTCATAACCAAGAAATGTAACTTTGGGTGAACCTAATACGCATTTTGGTAAGTTTATAACAACGCCGTGATCTTTCCAACTATCGTGATCTATCGAAGTAGATGATACAAGAATATTGTCTAGGTATGCGTAACAAAAATCCAGACCTTGTGTAGCCTCATCTATGAATCGCTGGAATGTCTGTGCTGCATTTCTTAGGCCAAAAGTCATGTAAGAATATTCAAACAGCCCAAATAGTGTTATTATTGCAGTTTTTGCGATATCATCCGGATGGACTGGAATCTGTTGAAATGCTTTAACTAAATCGATCACTGAAAATATAGTACATCCAGCTAAGTTATGCGCGTAATCTGCAATATGGCGTGCAGGATATTTGTCTGGAATTGTGCGCGAGTTGAGAAGCCGATAATCTCCGCATGGACGCCTTGTCGAATCCTTTTTTGTGTCAGATGTAGAGGTGCAGATCAAGAACTATCGTAGGGTCTTGCAATGTCTAATTTTACCATATTCTTAAATTCTTCTTTAGCTACGCGAAGTAATTCTGGCTTGAGGCGCCGTGATCTAGAAGAAACTAGAGGTCTTGGAGTTGTTCTGATATAAAGAAATGTTTTGTGTTTGCTTTCTTGACACAAGCCTGATGGTTTGGTGATGGATGAAAAATCAGCTAATAATTTATTATATGCACTATCCCTAAATATAGACTTGAGATTTTGTAACCGAAAAAATGTGATACATCCTGGAAAAAACAATGATGTTAGGTTGTCATGTAGATGCGAATTCTTTAACTCTTTTTTTATGTCTTGTTGACGATAAAAATTGTTGTGAGTGATTGTTGCGTATAAAACCTGTGATTTCTTCGAATAAAATGGCGTCACTTGTTGGGGGTCGATACCTTTCTTTTATATGTCTTGTTGACGATAAAAATGATTGTAAGTGATTGTTGAGTAAAAATAATTGTGACACAGTGTTAAGTATGAAGTACGTGGAATCCATAAATAAAATATGTGTTATTGCAGGGAGCGTAGCTCAAGTGGTAGAGCGCTCGCTTTGCATGCGAGAGGTACCGGAATCTTTCTCTTTTATGTCTTGTTGACGATAAAAATTGTTGTAAGTTATTGTTGAGTATGAAACCCGTGAAAACTTTGAACGAAATGGGATCGCTTCCAGAGGGTGTAGCTGAAGTGGTAAGGCTCTCGCTTAGCGTCTGAGAGGTACCGGAGTTTTATTCAAAGATTTCACGTATTTTATACTCAAAAATCAATCACAATAATTTTTATCGTCAACAAGACATTAAAAAGTAAGAGTTTGGAGCACTGGGTATTGATCCCGGTACCTCTCACATGTTATGCGTGCGCTACTTGGACTACAAACCCGGCAGTTGACCTTATTTTATTCAAAGATTCCACGGGTTTTATACTCAACAATTTTTATAGTCAACAAGACCAATCACAAGA